CTAAGATTAAAAAAAGTCATAAGGCTGGGGTTCTAATCTGCTGGGATTGATGGTTTTATAAGAGGAAGAAAAGACACCAGAAAGCCCTCACTGAAAACTGAATCCATAGGAACCTTGATTTTGGACTTTCTAGGCTCCAAAATATATGAGAAATAAACTGCTGTTTAAAAGACCCAGTTTGGGGGCCTCCCCTGGTGGCGCAGCAGTTGAGCGCTGGGCTGCGAGGCTGCCCTCAGCCTCTGTAGCGCCGGTTCGTTCCCCGGCCACCGGCAAGGGTCCCACAAAAAAAAAAAAAACAAACCTAAAAAAAAACACAAAAAAACACCCAGTTTGGGCCTCCCCAGTGGTCCAGGAGTTAAAGACAGTGCTATCAAGCTATCGCATGAGTTGGATTCCGGGCCCGGGCAGCCAGGGAGCAACCCACATGGTGCAGCAGACATCTCCTGCTTTGCCCACAGCTCCCCTCAGCAGTGTATTTCAGTAGATCTGCCCGTTCTGCTCCCCACTCACTCTGGTGAGTCCTCTCACCTCCTGCACCTCTGGCAAGAACCCCAGTTCTTGTATGCATTAAAAAAACTTAAAAAAAAAATAAAACACTCAGTTTGTGGCATTTTGTTATAGCAGCCTCAACTGACTAATAACTAAAAAACAAGTAACCGCAATTCTTAGTGAATGAGGTCCATTGTGCTGCTCTATCTGTTGATCTGCACCAGAAATGCAAGCTGTTATTTTCACTAAGTCCACTGAACTGGGAATGGGACCAGGGTATGTTAAAATACCACAAAGCACTCTGTTTTCACCAAGGTCAGCAAGTTATTCTTGATTAAGGATCCTTCTGGTTGCTAGTTAATGTAGCTTTTAGTTGCCAGAATTCTGAGAAAATTGCTTCTTTAGTTTCTGTCAGTCTGGGTTTTTTTTTTTTTTTTTTTTTTTTTGAGGAAGGACTTGTGTTCTGTCGTCATTGTCACTCATGTTATCCCACGTGCTCTTTTTGCACTCTGACTTTGACACTCCTCCCACCTAAAAGTGGAGGCCTACATTGCCTCGCCTTGACTGGGTGGGAGCTTATAACTGCTTCAGCCAAAAGAGGACACCAGAGGTGTTGTTTGTGCCTCTTTGGGTTAGGCTGTTCTAAAAAAGATACATCCTTTTCGTGCTTTTTGCAGAAGCTGGGGGTTGGACATTTGCTTTGGGGAAGCCAGCAACCATGCTGTGTGGGATCTTAAAATAGCCCATGTGGAAAGGACCTGAGGTCCCAAGCTGATGTCCAGTCTCCCATCTCCAGACATATGAATGAAATAACCTTCAGACGCTTCCAGCCTCTAGCCCTCAAATCTTCCAGCAGAGACTCCAAACATCAAGGAACAGAAATAAACAGTCTCTGCTGCGCCTTATCTAAATTCCTGACCCACAAAATATGTGATCATAATAAATCATTGTATTTTGCAGCTACATTTTTTGGTAATTAGGCAGCTACAGTAATTGGAAAAATCACCAAGTCAATCAAATGGTACCAAGATGTTGGGCAGACCTTTTCCTTCCTTTTAGCACACACTTAGGAACATCAAGATGGCCTCATATTCTTCCTGTCCCTCCAAACATTGGCATCTCTTGTCTTTCCAGATTTTCAAGTGTCCCCATCTTCCCAAACATCTAGACATCTCAAAATGTCTTTGATTTTTTTCTTCCCTTACACCTTCCATAGTCAACATAGTGCCTCACAGATTCCTCCAATTCCTAACAGCCTGTGCTTAAAACTCCAGGCAGTCATTATTACCTGCAGAATAAAATGGAATGGAATAGAAAGACTACCAGCGATAGGCATAGTACTTTCAGGTTTTATAGAAGAAAAGGGTAGTACTTAAAACTTTCTAAGTAATGATGTTTATAGATAGGATAGAAACATTCCCTATATTTTGAGAGAACTAGCTCTTACTAGGGCCATCTAGAAAGCAAATCAGGTCCTCCCTGGTGGCACAGGGAGCTACCCACATGGTGCATCAGACCTCTCCTATCTCACCTGCTGCTCCCCCTCAGCAGTATGTTTCAGTAGATTTGCCTGTTCTGCTCCCCACTCTGTCTCTGGTGAATCCGCTCCCCTTCTGCACCCCTGGGCTACATCCTTGTTCTTGTATGCATAAATAAAATAAATCATAAATAAAAGCAAATCATTGCCACTCTCTCTAGGACTTCTGGCTTCTGTGTAGACATTGTCCTTGTGTTTAGTCAAAGCCCCTTTCTTCCAGGTCCTCTTAACTATTCTGGTTACAAATCTAAATTTGGTTTACAAAAATTTAGAGGTATTAGGTGTTATTTTAATATAGGCACACCTTGGAGATACTGTGGGTTTAGTTACAGACCACTGCAATAAAGTGAATATCGGGGCCTCCCTTTTGGCCTGGGGGTTAGCGCTATCACCCCTACCCAGGCCAGGGAGCTAAACTCACATGGCGCAGCAGACCTCTCCTGTTTTGCCCGCTGCTCCCCTCAGCAGTGTATTTCAGTCAGTCTGCCTGTTCTGCTCCCACTCTGTCTCTAGTGAATCCTCTCACCCCCACACCTCTGGCTTATAACCTTGTTCTTATATGCCAAAAAAAAAAAAAAAAAAAAGCCACAAAGCAAGTTATTTTTTTTGGTTTTCCAATGGATGTAAGTTATATTTACACTCTATTAAGTGTGTAATAGCATTATGTCTTTTAAAAATATACATACCTCAATTTAAAAAATAATGTTAAAAAATGCTAAATCAGTCTTCAGTAAGTCATCATTTTTGCTGGTGAAGAGTAAAAAACACATCTGCGAAGTGCAATAAAACAGGGAATGCCTGTATTGACTGTCAGGTCCCTTAGTTCTGCTTTTTTACAGAAATAGTCATTGAGCAACTTCCATCCGTCTCTTCATCCTGACCCAGTCAGCATTTGTAGGGAGAGTTTTGATGAGGTAAGTGAAAAAAATCTGACCATGACTTACAGGGTCTGCTCAGCTTTTTGTCTTAAAAATATGATATATATTCAGTTTTCCCAGGTGAGGACCCACTTACCCCATGATTCTGTTTCAGAAGCAACATGAGAGAAAGTCAGGTACCCACACAATTTGCATGAAAATGACTTTAGGTTGTATTTCAAACTGGGGTGTTTAACATGTACATACTTCTTATATCTGCAGATATAAGAAGTAACCTTTTTTATAATCTAGACATTCCTCCTTAGGACACAGAAAGCTATTTGCTATGAGAAGCAGGACAACAATTAGAGGCTCTGAAATCTGACCACATTACCATTGTGTCCTAAAAGCCTTGAGCACTGAGCACTCATATTTGAGACTAAATCTTCAAAAAAAAAAAGGAGGGGGGAGGGTATAGTGGTGGTAAGGGAAGAGGGCAGCTTCCAGTTATTATTTTAGAAATATTTATTAAGAACTTAGCCAAGTGCCAGGCACTGTTCTAGGTGCCAGCTACATGACAGAGAAAATTCCTTGTAGGGCTTGCATTTTATGGATAAAGTGAGAAAACTAGTAAAATGTGTTTGAGAGTGTTATGCACATTGTAATCTTAACTAACCACAGAACCATGTTTAAAAAAATGCCAAAGGGCAAAATAAAGCTGAAAAGAGCAAAGTGCTGGGGTGAGCTTGGGGATGAGGGCTGAATTTTAGAAGTCAGAGAGGCCTCAGTGAGAAAAAATATTTGATTTTTAAAAAAAGATTTATTGATTGATTATAGAAGAACCGGGGTACATGCCAGAGGTGCAGTGGGGAGGGAGTAAGAGGATTCACCAGAGACAGAGTGGGGAGCAGACAGGCAGACTGACAAACACACTGCTGAGGGGAGCAGTGGGTGAGACAGAGAGGTCTGGTGCGCCATGTGGGTAGCTCCCTGGCCAGGGATCCAACTCAGGCCACAGTAATTATAGCGTGATAGTGCTGAGACTTAACCCCTAGGCCACCAGGGAGGCCCAAGAAGAAACATTTGAAAGAAGTTAAGGGAATTAAATATCTGAGGGGAACTCCAAGAGGCTGAGTTGGACTACCATAGTTTTAGTGTATTTTAAACTTTGTTGATCTGCATTTGATCCTCCAGAGATGCTCATTCCAAACATGGATTCCCTGGTCCTGGGCTCCTAGATGTATGCTGTGGTTATTGTTCCTAAGAGATTCTGTCAACTTGGTCTTTATTTATATGTTTATAATACAAAAATGTATTTGAGCTTTGTCTTGGCTCCTGCCCCAGAGGCCCTAAAACTTTTGGAATTTTCTGAGTAACAGGAGTGTCTGTTGTTCACAAGGAGACCCTTGGGTCACACCTGGGTTTATGCTAATGAGACCCCTTAGAGTGACCACCTCAGAATAAAGCTGGTCACCTGAAAGACCAGGTGATTGGACCTCTGACCCATCGATCTCTGGTAAGGGGGTGTGAGAGTGGTGCTGGAGATTGACCTTTATAAAACTCTTGAACAGAGATTCAGAAAGCTCCTGAGCTGACAGACACACCAAAATCCTGGCGGCCCCTGAGCCCCTTGACTTATATATCTCTTCCATTTGGCTCTTCCTGAATTACAACCTTTGTAATAAACCAACAAACAGTAGTGAAGTATTTTCATGAGCTCTGTAAGCCATTCTAGAAAATTTTCTACTTAAAAGGGAAGGGGGTGCTGTGGGGGTCTTCTCCCACCCCCAGAATTTTATAGCCGAGTTGGACAGAAGTGTGGGTAACCTAGGAACCAATGGTTGTGACTGGCATATGAAGTAAGGATGACCTGTGGTACTGAACCCTTAAACCTGTGATCCAGATGCTAACTCTGCATGGTATCAGTAATTAAACTGAATTGTAAGGATACCCAGTTGTTGTCCAGCGAATCACAGAATTGGTTGGTATTGAGAAACACCCTAGATATAGCCACTATTAAAACTGTGAAGTTCATTTCCAACATGGTGTCTGAGTTTACACAAGCTTCAGTAGTAGAGAAGAAATGTTAGCATAAGACACACATCAAAATAATGCACAAAAGAATTTTATTTAGTGGTCAGATCCCAATGAATAATGCCAGTCATTGCTTGATTCTGCTAAAATATGCTACAAGATACTCTTAAGAAAGTGTACAGTGCATCACCAAAGCTCTTTAATTTGGATTGTGTTGAGTGAAAGAAAACTTCATAAATCTTTGTTCTCTGATAAAATTTTTAAAATATAAAATGAAAAAAACCCAAAAGCAGTATTCAAAAATAATAAATGTCACCTTGGACTATTTACAATAAGATGCCTTTTTAATGGGAGAATACTCTGCTTCTTTTGATTTCTCCTTTGCCAGTATTCTCACGCCTCCCTCTGACCCTTATTCACAATTTCTTAGACATTTTCATCTCACACGAAAGTCACCTTGTATTTTCTCTTAATCATCTTCGAGCTTCCTCTTACTCCTTTTTTTTACCTTTACATTACTAATACTTCTATTCAACATTTTTTGAGCACCTAATATGTGCCAGGCACTGTGTTAGGAGGTGGGGATAAATACGGAGATGAAAAGTCATAGACCCCTCCTCTTCAAAAAGCTCAGACTTTGGATTGAATTTAGAAAACAATGTTTTTCACATTTTCACAAATCCCAGGCTCCTAAAGTAAATTTGGTGACTTCTTGAAACAAAGTGTACTCACAGAGGGCAAACTGCCCCACTCCAACTATCTTGAATTCAGAATCCTGCTCTTTCTATGAAGCATGAGCTCAATAGTTCAGGCCTAGTGTTTGAGTCCTCAGCTCTTAGAGGCTGGGACTATATGTTAGGCAGCAGAGCCACCCCAATTTGTTTTGGGAGGGGAAGGTAATCTTTTAATTGGCTTCTACAAATTCCAAGTATGAAAAGCTCTTAATCCATAAAATAATACTAAACTTAGGCTATAGATACATATTAATAAAGTCTTGCAACAAGATGCTCTAAAATTCCTATCTTTTATAAATGTCCAAGAGGAGCTCTTTTATTACCTCCACACATAATTCTGCATGATTTTCTGCAAGCATTTTCTTAGCTTTAAACACCAGAAGAACAAATTAAGCCTGCAGGTGACCTTTTCTTTAAAAATCTTGGTTGAACCCAAATAAGCTCAGCTCTTGCCTGTGATCTACATCTTTATCCATGAAGCCTCGAAAGACCCATGGTAGTTACTTGAAGAAAAAAAAGAAGCAAAAACTGTACTCAGCATACTATGGAAGCAAAAATGAAACCAGATCCTGGCCACTCCCATCTTGTTCCATGCTTGGCATACCATGTCCCCACAAATATTCACATTTGGAAACATTTTTCATTCACAGTAAATCAAATTCAAATCATGGTGATAGGCTTCGTTCTCAGCAGTGTGCAGCATGTTCTTCCATGGAATCCACACAGCCAGCCACTGGACAACGATGAGAGTTTTTGTGGGAAAGTTCTTTCCTTGATCCTCTTCTCTGTCTTTCCGTAGGTTGTGCAGGGTCATATCTCTAAATGGTTTCCTTCATATTAGATGATACTCTATCCTTTCAAGAGTATTAGTGCCGGATTCAGAATTTCCTGATGAGCTGGTTCCAAGCCCTTTGGAACTGAAGGCAACTTTAGGAGTTGGCATTATTCCCATATTACATTTGGCCTGCCCTATGCTATGGTAGGGTGATCCTGTCTGAAATATGTGAGGAGAATGAGAAGAGCAGGGTGACTTGGGAGAGGGGAAGAGGTCATCATGCACAAGTTTCTTGCCCTGTCGTGCATATATTTTCAGTGAAATAGTGTGTAATTTGACACATAGGGCTTGTGCTTTTTCCGTAATATCTCGCCCTGAAAAGCTTTTTTTGGCAAATGTGGCCATGAACGTGTGTGTGTGTGTGTGTGTGTGTGTGTGTAAAACATGTCATGAGGTTATGTGACAAGTCCTGTGAGTGTGTCCTGGCCCCTCCCCTACTCACACCCACCTCACCACCAAGAAAAACTAATGGGTTTTACACCTGGTCGGTTTGATATTCAGAAGCTTCAGAAAGACTTTCTGAGAAGCTTAGGAAATTCTCCTGGTATTCAGAACAAACAATCTCGTAACGGTAATGCCGGAACTCCACAGCTAAGGTGCCAAAGTAAGACAGGAAGCACATGACCAGGCCCCACTGAACCCTGGCTGCATACATGTGGATGCCTTGAGCCATGAGGATAAAGTCTGGGGAGAAGCAGTCAAGGAAAGTACCCTCTTGTCAGCTCCATTAACACTGGGCTCTTTTCAGAGCTTCCTGGTGGCGCAAGGGGTTAAGCGTTAACACTATGAAGCTATCTGCAACTACTGCAGCATGATTTCGATCCCTGGGCAGGGAGGTGACCCACATGGTGCAGCAGACCTCTCCTGTCTCACCCGCTGCTCCCCTCAGCAGTGTATTTCAGTCAGTTTGCCTGTTCTGCTCCCCACTCTGTCTCTGGTGAATCCTATTACCCCCGCCCTTGCACCTCTGGCCTGTAACCGAGTTCTTGCATGAATAAATAAATAAATGAAAACCACTGAGCTCTTTTCTGTCAGAGACAAGGACAAGTTGTAGGAAAAGTCTGGCTCTCCAGGGACAGCAAAAGTTAACTTGACAGTTTGTGTTAAACAAGCATCTTCCCTAATCATACCTGACCACATTGTTAAGCTCTTATTATCTGCCAGACATGCTTTCAGGTGCTCACGTAAAATCCAATGGAATCCTCCCAACAATCCTATTATTACCAGTTCTTCTAAAAATGGGGAAGCTGAGGCCAAATGAATCAGTAATGGCTGAGGTGGCACAGGTATTAACCAGTGGAGCTGAGATCCAAACACAAGCACTCTGATTTCCAGATTATGCACTGAACCACTACAATGTCTAATAAACTATGAGATGAGCAAGAGGGTGACAACTCAAAGTACTTAAATGGCCAGGAAAATTATCTTACTAAAAATCATAGCAAATGGGGCCTCCCCGGTGGCGCAGTGGTTGAGCTCTGGGCTGCGAAGCTGCCCGCAGCCTCTGCAGCGCTGGTTCAATCCCCACCAGCCAGCGAGAATCCCACATGGCGCAGCAGACCTCTCCTGTCACACCTGCAGCTCCCCTCAGCAGTGTACTTCATCAGTCTGCCTTTTCTGCTCCCCGCTCTGGCTCTGGTGAATTCTCTCACCCTCCCACACTTCTGACTGTACCCAGTGCTTGTATAAATAAATAAATAAATAAATAAATAAATAAATAAATAAATAAATAAATCTTTAAAAAAAAATCATTGCAAATGCCTATGGATTCATAGTCATCGCTCTATCTGCGGAAACAATGTTGAACATTTCAATTCACTACCTATTTCCACACAAGCTATGCTTGTCTGCAGCACAATATCTAAGTGGCCCCCCTCCCTCTTCAGTCTAGTTTTCACTATTGTCTTTCAGACAATACTGTAGACACAAGTTTTACATCTGTCATGTTAAAATTTTCACCCAAATGAAAATAAACAATTAAAAAAAATAGCTGGATGAGGGCCTTCCTTGTGGCGCAAGGGGTTAAATCTCAGCACTATAAAGCTATTGCCAGCCAGTGCAGCATGAGTTCCATCCTCATCCAGGGAGTAGCACATGGTGCAGAAGACCTCTCCTGTCTTGCTTGCTGCTCCCCTCAGCAATGTATTTCAGTCAATCCCTCTGCTATGCTCCCCACTCTGTCTCTGGTGAATCCTCTCACTCCCCCTCACCTCTGGCCTGCACCCCAGCACTTATATGCATAAATAAAAATAAATCTTGAGGAAAAAAATAGATGAGACCCCTCTGCCTGAATATATATACACTTGAGTATGTATATATGTTGTGTGTGTACACACACAGCACACACACCACACCAGGATATGTGAAGGAAAGTGCTAAGAAGAGAAAGGTTCACAGCATGTTTTAGTGAAAGGCCAAGAGATTAAGGATGAAATAAATTTTCTTAGAAAAATCAGAAATATCCCTTTAGAATTAGTTCTGTCCTTCTAACTTAGACTTGATATAGGGAAATTTTCAGAGAGCAAGAGTATACAACATTAGCCAAACTTTGTACTCCTGACAGTCCTGAAGGCATTTACCTAGGAACTGAGAAATGCAATTGTTTAGAAACAACATAGATCAGAATTGTTTGGTCTGTGAACACTCTTCTGACTGAGGGTTTAAAATATTGTCAAAGCAATATTAACTTAATAAGTTAATGGGAGAGGAATAAACTTCAAATCTTCTACTAACAGTTCTGAGCTTTTTAATCAAAATGTTTTAATAGGTTGGTAGCAATAAGCAAATTTTTTAAATTTGAATTTCAAGTCCTGAAGTGCTCTGTAATGTGACTGCAGACTTTCAGAAAACCACAAAATGATTGAAAAACAGCTTTTTCAAGAAGAAATAAAAGACACCAAATACTCTACCAATGAGAGAACATCTCTGAACGCTATATGATTTTATATTTAAACTCTCTCTAAGATAGGATGGTGTAATGGCTAAGTGGTCAAGAACCGAGCCCAAGTTTAAATCAAGATCACCAACTATAAGTGCTTCACTCGCCTTATCCAAGTGAGGATAAAGGCAATTGATACATTTAAGGTACATAAAATAACACCTACTTCATTTTAAGTGCCCCATAAATACTGATTATTACATGGCTGAACACTCATTACTGTGCTAAGTATTCGGTCTACCATCCAGGAACCTATTTTCTTCTCTGGTTTCCAAAGGAGGACCTATTGGATTGGTGATTACTTGGCCCCACTGAATGAGTGACTAGTATGATTAGTGGGACTAGAATTGGCTGGATTCTATGAGACCATACTCTCAGTAAGTAGGGTCTATGTTCCAACCTAGGTTAGTTGCTCTAGAATCTCTATGAGTTAATCTCACAGTGAGGCATTCTCCTCCTGCCTTTCTGGGGGCTCTAAGGTTGTTACTGGGATAAGATGAATTTCAGGTGTGTGAGACAGGGCATTCTCCTGGCATTCTTTCCAAGCTTACCATGAATAAAGACTGATTTCTTTACCCCCTCTCACTCTTTGTGTTTGTCCTGCATTGCTTTAAACATTGAGAAGAGGAAGGGAAATGAATAGCATCTCAAAATCTCAAAACTATGTGTTTAGGACAGCTATATACCCACCAGTAAATTAGCTCTTCAATTTGTTTTCCAGAAGTCTTACTGATTTCCCCAAAAGATATAAATTCATTCCTTGAAATTAACTGTTGAGTTAAAAAATGAAATAATAGGACCATCAACAAAGTCACAAATGAAAAAAATGTTTAAGACGGAGGGAAAAAAATCGCAATTCTCTTTGGGCTATGCATTCTATGTTTTTCAGAAAGGGAAACAATTACATCACAAATGAGGATGCATGATACCCTTCCTACAGATTGAACCAAACAATCTTGAGAAGGATTGTTTTATTTTTAGTTCTCCATTTTGGCAAATCAGTCTGTGAGTTTTTGTTTTTATACCCATTTACTTTTTTGTTTTGTCTAAGATGCTGAGATAATCTCACAGTATATATACCCTAGCCACCTGGGAATGGCGATTTTCTCATCTTACAGACAACTTAGCTGTGTTTTAATTGGCAGAGACCTTTCCACACTCAAAGGATACAGAGGACCACACAAAGAGTAATAGATGCTGAAAGAATAACTCGTGGAATTCCAACTTTCCGCCCTTCATTCTTGATGTTGACTTTGAGTGTCAATGCAGCCTGGATCCAGCAGGTCAATGTGCCAAATCCAAAGGTCAAGGACGTTCCGACATTATGGATTTCTTCATCATTAGTGAGCTATAGGATGAAGAGGTAATGATGTGTAGAGATTCATATGGAAAAGACATGCCAATGAATTATTATTATGAAGAAAAAATAAAAGTGATAGCCAAGAAATGAGATGACAGATTCTGGAAAGATTAGAGTCCTTCATCTCCATTGGCTGGCTCTTTTTATCTGTTCTTAATTGGTTTGAATGCTGAGGTGAAGGAAAATACATAGTTCCCCGAAGGCCAAAATATTTGTTTAGAAAAACCATGCAGGCAATGGTAATCTACTCCTTTAATTTATTGTCCAGAAAAGCTTTGAGGAAAAGGAAAAAGCAGGCAGGTTACACAAAAAAAGAGAAATGTCAAAGTTTCTACAAGCATGTACCCACTTTGGTTTCCAGATTGGGAAATAAGATCCAGGATCTGACTTTATTAACTGATTGAGGAGGACCAATTCTAAGCAGGTCAAGACTTTATTGGCATAGGAAGTAAATAACAGATGAGTTGGGATTTACTCGAACAAACTTAGCTTGTCTATATAATGTGACCAACTCTATTAATGGGAATTTTTTTGTATTGCTTTCCTGTTACAATAAGAAAACTGCCATATCTGGAGACCCGTTAATGGGCAACATTGTTGGAAGATCCTTGGTCAAGGCTTTTAGAGAGTCAACAGATTCAAGAAGACTCACTGTGTTATTTCATTGGATGGAGGGGTAGAGACATAAACCAACTCCTTATCCACTGATATTTTTAAATGTTTCTGTCACTTAAATACCCTTTAGTAATTACATATATTTTAATTACACATATGGGAAAATAATTTACTGTTGAAGAGAGGGCCTTTAAAACATTGCTTGACATTGTTGTACACAATGGTTGTATCAAATCAAAGTTATATTTCCCTTTTGTAATTTTCCCTTTTTTGATGTGCAATTATTTTCCTCTTCACTGCAAAAAGCCACATTTTCCTCTTAGTTCAAAAGAAATATTTTCAAAACATAATGTTAAATAATGATTCCTCAAAGCAAATATTACTTCTAGGAAGTTGGTTTTCCATGCTGTATAGTATATTCATTTGTTTTTTTAACCTAATTTTAAAAATAGATAATATTGTTACAGTGTTCAAACTTTCAAAAATGATTAAAAGTTAGATCTAAAAGTTTGTCTCCTACCCCAAATTCTTACCACCTCAGTTTCTCCTCAGGCCATTAAATTTGTGATTTATTTTCCATGCATTCTTTGTAGGTATTCCAGAAAGTGTTCTTCATATGTAGTGCCATCATTCATGGTTTTGAAAACTTGTGGTTCACCAAAAACCACCTAATCTTTGAGATTCTTCTTGGACTTAGGTTAGGAACAAAAAATTATTCATTGACCATTGTCTAAATTTTGGATGGGAAGAATGATAGTTATTGAGCACTTTACAACATGCCAGCACCTGCAGCATGGAGAGGTAAGTGGGAGAAAGATTCCCACCAAAATCTCAATAAAGAATGCTCGGTACTCTATAATTTTGGAGCTTAACAGGATAAACTCTCAAATATTTGTCCTAGCCAAAATGTTCTAAGAATGCAGCTTTTTTGAGTCTAACTTGATATAGGATGAGACCTAGAATTGTTAGAGGAATTGGTGGAATTGCCTATTTGTTCAAATGAACTGTCAAGTCAAAAATAAACATTGAGTTGTTACTATGTACCAAGAGAAGTCTCAGGAAGCAAGTTATTCTGGTTCAGTGAATTTTTAAGGCTGAGGTTTAGAACAAAGAGTCTTAGAAAATCCGCTATCATACATTCTTAGATGTCTATACCATTTTTGATTTCACACAGTAGACAGAAGAGTCTGGAATGGTGATTGACTGCAAAGAAAAAATTCCTAACAGAGATAGATAACTAGGTTGGAGAAAATCTGGGAGAGAGTGGAGACAGAGGAATCGGATAAGTATTGAAATAGTGCAAGGGTATCTATGTCTATTTTACAAATGATGTCATTTAGGTTAAGAGCTGGGGTTTAGCAAGGGAAACTATTCTTAAATGTTGTGATCTTGGGCTTCTAAGTTTCTGGAAAAAAGAGTTAGGGTTAGTATATCCTTATACATTTTGGATTTTCAAACCTGAATTCCATGTAAACTTGCTAATCTGAAATGCAAGCTTTTACCCAATAAGGATGTTCATAGTTTATAGAAGGACAATGACCCCATTAATTTTCTAGAAAGGTATATTAGGATACAATTTACTATAGAAAAAAGTGTAAAGCACTTTAAAATCCTTTGCAGAAGTTATACAGCCACTTCAATAGTTACTTGTGCACCCTCACATGTGAGATGAGAACTTAGGTAATTGAGGCAGAAAGACCATAAGGTCTGGCAGCAAGAGAGGTTGTGCCTCTTAGGAATCACTCTTTGCATTTTTTGTTTTTGAGGTTCATTCAGAATTATACTTCAGAGTGACTATATGTCAGAGGCTATGACAATCATATAGGTGAAGTATGACATGAAGGTGAAAAGGCCAAATGAAGTACCTGAAAATTACCAAGTAAGGTCATTCCAAAGGAAGCCAGACACAGTGCCACCAATCCACTAATATTCAGCCACGGATTTAAAACCTTTGGTTTCAATTGTATGAAGCGCAGTACAGCCACCACAAGGGCTAGGAATAAAACAAAATGTTAAAATTAAAAATTTTAAAGCATACACCCAGACCATGAGGCAGAATTCTAAGGCTACAATGTGCAAAATTGAACTTTCATCACAGTGCATTTTAAATCTTTGAAATGACACACAATTTTTTAAAGAAATTCTTTCATGTGATGCACATAATTATTTAGCCACCTAACCTGGGAGAAGCAGAGAGGAACTGAAGCAGCAATGCTGTATGTTATTTAGCTGATATAAGGATGATAAAACTGTCTTTTTTTTTTTTTTGCATAGATGACCTGGAGTATAGGCCAGAGGTGTAGGGGGTGAGAGGATTCACCAGAGACAGAGTGGGGAACAGAACAGGCAGACTGATTGAAATACACTGCTGAGGGGCGCAGCGGGCGAGTCAGGAAAGGTCTGCTTCGCCATATGGGTTGCTCCCTGGCTGGCCGGGGATCGAACTCGTGCTACAGAGGCTGCGGATTGTGTCATAGTGCAGTGCTTAATCAACAGTTGTGCCACCAGGGAGGCCCCCATTCAGGTTTTTTTAAAGATATATTTTATTTATTAATGCATACAAGAACTGGGGTGTAGGCCAGAGGTGTGCAAGTTGGGGGAGAGGATTCACCAGAGACAGAGTAGGGAGTAGAACAGGCAGATTCACTGAAATACATTGCTAAGAGGAGTAGCAGGCGAGACAGGAAAGGTCTACTGCACCATGTGGGTTAGCTTCCTGCCTGGCGATCGAACTCAGGCCATTGTGGTGATATTGCTGATTCTTAACCCCTAGCCACCACGGAGGCCCATCCATCCAGTTTACTTTTGCCCAAGAAGATGGGTGCCAAGGATTAGGTATAAGGACAGGTAGATATTAGTAGCAAGATTATATTAAATAATGTAACATTGAATATTGAAAATTATAGAAGAGTGAGGCCAGCAAATCCCCAACCACATCTCTCCCACTTCCCATTGATTTTACCTAGAAATTTTCATTGCCAAAGGACAAAGTTAAGGGAGTTTTTTTCCTTTTTCCTTATTTTTTTCTTCTATCTATAGAAGAGTGGTAATCATTTCATAATAAATGTCAAGCTGTCATGCTTTATATCTTAAACTTATGATATATGTCAATTATTTCTCAATAAAACTGGAAAAATTCAATTAAAAAATCATACCAATTATATTAAGAAAGCTCAATTCTTCCAAATGATATAAATCACTCATTTTAAAAGGCCACTCTATATTTTGAAACAGTCATTAGGGAATCTGAAGAGAAAATGAAGGAAGTTACCTAGATTTATATCTGACTTCTAATAGTAACCTTCAGAATGGTTCATTCTTTTTTTTAAAAAAAAAAAAAAAGATTATTTATGCATACAAGAGCTGGGGTGTAGGCCAGAGGTGAGGGTGTGTGTGTGTGTGTGTGTGTGTGTGTGTGTGTGTGTGTGAGATTTTCCAGAGACAGAGTGGGGAACAGAACAGGCAGATTCACTGAAAGCTGAGGAGAGCAGCAGGTAAGTCAGGAGAGGTCTGCTGCGCCAATGTGGGTAGCTCCCTGGCCGGGGATCAAAATCATTTCGCAGTGGCTGCTGATAGCTTCACAGTGCTGAAATTTAACCCCTTTTGCCACCAGGGGGGCCCAGTATGGTTCATTCTTAAGGCACTAGCCAAAAAATCCCCTTTGATTAATTTGTTTTTGTGCAGGCTATTTTCATATTTCTACAAAAAGCTAGGAGAAGTTATTCTACAAATGATAAAGAAATACTTGTAATTTATGTAAACTGTATTTATATATATGGAAATGCACTTACTACTTCCTAAGACAATTTATTTTGACATTAAGGTTTAGCAGGGAAGATAATTAAAAATTCAAGAATTCCCCTATTTATACAGCAATTACATAGGTAATCATTTACTAAAGGTTTTGCCTTCATTGCAGGACATTATAAGCAGCTATTAATAAAGAAAAGTCATCCGTAAATTTGCATTTCCCATGTATACTAAATTCCATAGTTTCAAGCTACGAAGTTCAATTCAGTGAGTTGACCTTCTGTTCTAAGTACTTCTGCAAAGAGTGACAAATAATTTGACTAATACTTGGATTTTGAAAACAAAATAGGAATAAACCATAATTTATGAAATCTTACATTGTTCGGTCTGTTTAGCTTTTAGTATATTTATACTTCAGTTAATGCCCACTTTGATCATGAACTTGTTATAATTGAGTTGACACAGTTTGTTAACCTACTGGTTTGAGGGACGTAGTTAGCAGTTATAATTTAGCTGAAGTCATAATGACAATAACTATTTTAGAGGATAAAAAAATAACTCCAACTTCATATTATTTCTTTGGGTGGGGCTGGGGGAAGAAGTGGGTAGCAGAGAACTTCAGCATAAGCACACTGACACAATGTGATCACTAGATAAATAAGTCATTAGATTAAAATCAGAAACTTCAGGGCATCCCTGGTAATGCAAGGGGTTAAGACGCAACCTATGAAGCTGTCCGCAGCCACTGCAGCATGAGTTTGATCCCTGGCCAGGGAGCTACCCACATGACGCAGCAGACCTCTCCTGTCTCGACCACTGCTCCCCTCAGCAGTGTATTTCAGTCAATCTGCCTGTTCTGTTCCCCACTCTGTCTCTGGTGAGTTCTCTCAACCCCCCACACCTCTGGCCTGTATCCCAGCTCTTGTATGTATAAATAAATAAATCTTTGAAAAAGAAAAACAAAACCAGAAACTTCAGAGCACTATGGGAAATTAATTAATTAAGTGTGGATATGAGGGCAGGATGACAAAATACCAAAAGAGCACATTTAATTTTTTTTTTTTAAATCAACAAGTGAAAAGTATTACTCTGGGAACTTTCTGGTTGTCACTAGTTTGGAGGGATAAGACCATCAGGGCACCAGCACAAATTGCTGCCATCACAGACACTGAAACGAATCTCCACATTGACGGGTCCAGTCAAGCTATTCCACTCCGCCAGAGGAGTGTCTGTTACCCATGGTTGCCAACAAGCACGGAACCTATAACATCTCCTGGTACCAGCATTGCTATTTATTATATGGATGATAAGTCATTTCATCATAAACTTATGATTAAATTAAACAGGAAACAGAATCGTATGAAAAAGGGACTTCAACCCAGTACGCCTGACTTTCAGAACTGCATTCCAAACACCATACTTAGCCCTTTAACTTTAACTCCATTACTAATCAACTCAGACTAGGGAGACTTTCCTTCTAAGAGAGATTCAGTTGAGTTTTTAAGGTGGTGGGAATAATAAATATTCTGGTCCTTGAACCAGAATTTTTTTTTCTTTATTTATTTATACAAGAACTGGGGTATAGGCCAGATTCACGGGAGGGTGAGAGGATTCACCAGAGACAGAGCGGAGAACAGAACAGGCAGACTGACTAAACACATTGCTGAGGGGAGCAGCGGGCAAGACAGGAGAGGTCTGCTGCGCCATGTGGGACCCTCGCTGGCCAGCCGGGACCGAACCTTTGCTGCAGAGGCTGCGGACAGCTTCACAGTGCGGCGCTCAACCACCTGTGCCACCAGGGGAGGCCCTGAACCAGAATATTTAAATGGAGGCTGATTCAAACTGTTATGAAATACATTTTCAACCAATTAGTGATTTAGTTATATTTTCTTGAAAAAGACTTCTAGGCAGTAGTGTTTTCAAAGCCATCATTATATATTTTAACCAATTTTGACCACATTAACATTCTGATCAACAGATATATGTTTTAGTTGCACTGAAAATTTTAGATATTACTAACAATTTTAGAGAAGACTTTTTAAAAAAGATTTATTTTATTTATTTATGCATAGAAGAACAGGGATGTAGGCCAGAGGTAAGGGGGGTGAAAAGATTCACCAGAGACAGAGTGGGGAACAGAACAGAATACACAGAAATACTATTCTGCCAAGGGCAGCAGCGGGCGAGACAGGAGTTCTGCTGTGCCATGTGTGGGTTAGCCCCCTAGCAGGGGATCGAACTCAGGCTGCAGCAGTGATAGCTACTATATAAATTATAAATTATAACTTAACCCCAATGCCACCTGGGAGGCCCCATTAGAAAAGATTTTTAAAACCCACTCTTTCACTGTTTTTGGTATTTAAAACAGCCTTTTGCTATAAGAGGCATCACCAATTTAACATCTATTTTTAAAAACCACAAATATTAGGATATTGCTTATTTTCTTTATAGATTTTTATATTGAGATTGATTGGGTTTTTAAAGTTCAAATTCAAAATAGTAGCTCTTCATTGCAGTTCAAAACTGGTATCAAGCCAAATTCTTTGTCATTTTGCTTACTTTTACTATTTATACATCAGTAATTGCTATTTATGACTGCAGTAGAACATAACAATCGATATGTTTTGGGTGAAGGAAGGGAAGCATGACTGAAATCATTCAGGTGACTGAAATCATTCAGCCATTAGCTTTATTCTCACAACCTCTCCAAGGCAGAAAATAACATTCCTTTCAAGAAATTTCTCTTAAGTCTTCCTCCCTGCTGTACCACCTCTCAGGAAAAATAAAAGTGAATTCAGGAAAAAGAGCATAACTAATTCTGTAAAGAAAATTATTTCACAGCTTATCTTTGATTCACCTGTCAAAAAAGATAAAAGATCTTTGCTAACTAATTATAATAAATGCTACCTCAACTCATTTGGGGACTACAAATTATAAGCTTAACAGCTGCCAAAAAGCAGTAACTTTTTGGAAGTCTAGAATGTTTCTTAAAGTCAGTTATTTATGCTACCTACAGTAATAGTCTGAAGTTGGCAGGGCAGCCCCAAGGAGGCAAAAACATTCACAGTATAGAGTGAGACTCATTAGTAAATGGATTCTTCTTTACTCCTTGAGTGAAAACTAAATAATTGTTGGTTTACTCCCACTGAAAACTAATTTTAATCAGTTTGTGTCTTCCAGATGGCGCTAAAAATGATGAAAGATAATAAACACTGGATGTTGCAATACCTTAGAGCAAGAACTAGTAAAAGCTTAATTGCTTCTTGGGGGAGCCAGGGGAGGACTGGAGAAATCAGATAATGACAAATGTCATCTGAAGCAAAGTTTTCATTACTTTGCTCTCAGAAATGCTTTTGTAATTAGTTAATCATAAGCTTTATAACTGGATAAATTTGTGAACCATGCAAATTAGTATTTTTTTAGATTATACATTAAAGGCTACTGGTAAATAATAATTTGTCTCAAGAATATGAAGGAAAATTATATATGGCTTCTGACACATTTACTGGTTTCTTTAAAGCCCTGAGGACAGACAGCTTTCTAAAAGGGCAACATCCTGGATGTTGTGATTAAATGACGTAGTATTTGCAAAGTACTCAACAATTGTGCCTGGCATATTAATGATTGTCATTAATGATTGTTATTATTGCAACCATGGGTATGATCATATGAGTGTGTGCCAATCATATGAGTGTGGTGAGAGGGCAGAAGGTCTGGGAAAGGATCCTGTCCCAGAACTTCAAAATTTACTCCTGGAGTTGTGTGCTCTATTAAATACAAATATCTCCTAAGTAGTCATTTACGTCTTGTTATGAATAAGCTTATTTGATCTTTCTGAAGAGCGTGTCAAAAGTTGGGAAAAAGAGCAAGTATAAAGCTCCTGGCAGTTCTGAGGCTGAAGGAAGTGAAGACAAAACTTGAGTGAGCAGGCCTCGTGTCCAGGTGCTCACTCCCAGCTCTAAATGCATCCTTCCTCAGACCTTGTGACTATTTGAGATGTGAAAATCCTGCCTGCCAAGGGTCTGAAGAGAAGAGCTTCTTTAAAGATTCAGTAACCCCCAGCGCAGAGCGTATCTCACCTTCTCCTGAGTGCTGGTGTAGCAGCCCGTGCTTTCCAGACACTTCCTGTGAGGAGAGTGGGATATGCTTTGGAAGCCTGGGTAGGGGAAGGCTTAGACCCAAGTACTGTTAGATCCAGGGAGGAATCTTTTCAACTGCAGCGAAGCACTCCAATGTACTCCTCTCTGAACCTCACAGGTTTAAGAGAGGGCTCTGGGCCTTTCAGGGAAAGTTCTTCAGTTTCTCACATTTTGAACCTTTGAACACCTAAGATCCTGCCCATGTTACATGTTGGAACAACCATCTCCCTTGATTTTCCAGTGAGATCTAAGGGCCTTCTCCTACCCTGTAGCAGACATTAAAAAAGACATGTAAGAGTGAGTAAGAATCCTCTTGAGAGAAGTTATAGGTCAAAGAAATAACAGGTCACCTCTTTGGGATCAGTGCCACAATGACTGAATGTTCCCTCAGTAATAACACCAGTGTTAACTCTTACTTGCAGTGTAAGTCTCAACATCAAAAGAACCATTTTCAGAAAACCATTGTTGAAAAACTTAGCTGTCACTGCTCACTCCCCACAGCACACCCACAAAGTTAGTTTGCCTTTTGAAAGATAAGAGGAGGGACCTGACCATTTCACTTGAGGAATGGGCAGATAGGGTTGAGTGGGGAAAGAGGACATGACTCATTCTGATGACCCCTTAGACTAAAGGGAATAAAATAGTAAAGGAAGATCTTAGGCCCTAAACGAAAAGTGGGCAACTGGGGCCAGGCATGAGCACAAAAGATGTCTTTATTGTTTCACCCCACATTTCCATTTGACAGATTAATATATATATATAGGCAAAGGGAGCACATCACCCTAATGTTAATGCTGACCTTTAGATTTAAAGACAATATCTACACAATCAATATTTATCACAGAGGGACCTGCCCCGGTGGCACAGCAGTTGAGCGCTGGGCTGCGAGGCTGCCTGCAGCCTCTGTAGCGCCAGTTCGATCCCCGGCTGCTCCCCGGCCACTGGAGGAGGGTCCCACATGGCACGCAGACCTCTCCTGCCATGTCCGCTGCTCCCCTCAGCAGTGCATTTCGTCAGTCTGCCGGTTCTGTTACCCGGCTCTGGCTCTGGTGAATTCTCTCACCCTCCCCCGCTTCTGACTGTACCCAGTGCTTGTATAAATAAATAAATAAATCTTTAAAAAAAAAAAAGAAATGATAATCTTTATGTTAAAAAAATATATTTATCACAGATAAGAACCTGTCTGCTGAAGAGGGAGGTAAAGACAAAGTGGGGAGGGGTCCAGTGGCCTAGGGTAAAGGACTATGGTGGCTTTGGTGATGGGTGTGGTGTGATATACATCTGAGGTGGTGCAAACTTATTCCCCCGAATCATATACAGTGTTGTAAACCAATTAAAAAAAAAAAGAGAGAGAAATATTTATCACATTGCCTATATATATTTTTCATCCTTGCCAATGAAGGAATAAAAATGGCATTCTTTTTAAAGCAAACATACTACACAATACTACATTTCATGCAGAATTTTATGGCACATGAAATATATTATTTCATGCAGCAAAAGAAGTAAAGTAAAAAATAGATTAAAATGACAGAGATGGTAAAGAAAGAGAAAATGTATGGTAAGCAGAATGAATATAAAAGAATTTATGAGAAAAAAAGACCCTAACAACAAAAAGCTACTTTCAGCATATTGACATGACAAATTATCAAGTAAGCCTACCATGCTTTTGATGTGGGTTTGAGATAATTTAAAATTAAAAAGAAATGTCGCAAGCACATAAAACATTCTCTGCATTGTTCTTACCTAGGAAAGCCGCCATGTTCATGACTTGACTAAACACGCAGCTTGCAGGCGGGTCATCACCTGCAATACTTGAAAAATACTTAAAATTTTATTATTTTTGTATTAAAATCTATAAACTTTTGCAATGAACTAAGTGTTTGTTTCCCCTCAAACAGTCATATTTTGAAATCCTACTCCTAATGTGATAGTTTGAGAAGGTGAGGCCCCTGGGGGTAATTAAGTCTTGAGGGTGGCAGCCTCAAGAAGGGATTGTTGTCTTTATTAAAGAGACCCTCCTCCCCCAGAGCCCTCTCATCCTCTTTCTGACATGTGAGGATACAATGAGAAAACAGCCATCTAAACACAGAAGAGGGTTGTAGGGTAAGGTAAAAGCATCAGGCTTTTCTGCCCTCACGCCATTAGGATAGATGAGGGAACCCTGAGGTCCTGAATGCATGCCTGATGGTTGGCACGAAGTGGGTACACCTAGGCTGAGAGACTGAGTTTATAAGGGCGGCATCTCGAGGATGCCAGATGAAGCCAAGAACGAACAGAAGCCGAGAGAAGAAGAGAAGCAGAGAGAACGCCAGAGAGCCCAGATAGAGTGAGGATTTGCTGGGGGCTGGGAGGCCTGCCAGCCTCCCGGCCCCCCAGCACCCCTCCCTGCCATATGCCTGGTAAATCTAAATAAAAGACCTGCAAAAGCCACTGAGGACTCTGACTCCTCCTTTACCCGGTCTGCTGGATCCTAGAAAACCTGCTCAGTGCCCTGTCCTGCCCTTACAAGGGTCCTCACTAGAACCCAACCATGGTGGCATCCTGATCTTGGACTTTGTAGCCTACAGAGCTGTGGCAAACAAATTTGTGTTGTTTATGAGCCCTCTCTGACCCCGGTCTCTGTAACTTTGTTAGAGTAACAGGATCTTAAGTCCCATCCCAACTTTTCCTAAGATTCAACGAATTAGGAGCAAATTACCAATTTACCTTATGTATGGCGCATGCTTCACACCAGGTTTCCTGAATAACAGAAAATGCAGAAACTCAGTTCAAGTAATGGTCATTTGTGGCAGTTATCCCTCACTAGTAGCAGAGTTTTTGCTAAGTCTATGAATGAATAATGAATTAATCAGGGAACGTTACCTTTCAGCTGAATTTAATGGGAAAATTTTGTCATCTTCCACAGCTATAAAGTATCTATGAGGAAAAAACAGTTAAAGTTTATAAAACAAAATAATTTTTAAAACCAGGAATCAAGTTTTTCAGTTTTAAACCACATAAATCATATTAATTTTTTTCAAACTGGAAAAATAATCTCTTAATACATACAATGCTTTGCCTATAAACCATCCAGCTCTATGGAAGTCAAATATTATTATTATTATTTTTTAAAGATTTATTTATTTATGCATACAAAAGCTGGGATACAGGTCAGAGATGGGGGGGGGGTATATGAGAAGATTCACCAGAGACAGTGGGGAACAGAACAGGCAGATTGACTGAAGTACACTGCTGAGGGGAGCAGTGGGCGAGTCAGGAGAGGTGTGCTTCGCCATGTGTGTTGCTCCCGGCCACCAGAGGACGGTCCACATGGCGCACAGACCTCTCCTGCCACCTGCTGCTCCCCTCAGCAGTGTACCCTGGTCCCTCTGCCTGCTCTGCTCCCCACTCTGGCCCTGGTGAATTCTCTCACCCTCCCGCACTTCTGACTGTATCCAGTGCTTGTATAAACAAATAAATCTTAAAAAAATTAAAAAAATTTCTTTTTATATACTTTTTCTTAAATTTTATTAATTTTTCAGTCATTTGCACATCTCTATAATGAGGGTACATTTACACAGCTCCAAATGTGCACATGCCTCACACACCCTCCACCAAAATGCTCTCATTTTCTTGTGAGCCTGTAGGGTAAGGAAAAATGTCAGGCCTTTCTGCCTTCCCGCCATCAGGATAGATGATGGATCCTTGCGGTCCTGAATGCATGCCTGATGGCGGGCACCTGGAGTAGGGTGTGGGCATAAGTAGATGGGATTCACCTGGGCTAAGACTGGGCTTTTAAAGGCGGCATCATGGGGACGCCAGCAGAAGCTGAAAGAGAAGCTGAGAAAGAAGCAGCAGAAGCCAAGAGAGAAGCAGAGAATGCCGGAGAGCCCAGATAGAGTGAAGACTTGCTGGGGGCTGGGAAGCCTGCCAGCCTCCCGACCCCCCGGCCCCCCAGCACCCCTTCCTGTCATGTACATGGTAAATCCCAATAAAAGACCTGCAAAAGCCGCTGAGGACTGTGACTCCTCCTTTACCCGGTCTGCATGGGATCAGAAAACCTGCTCAGTGGTCATTCCTGCCCCTACAATTGGCGTAAGTTGGCAAGATGATCCATGCAGACGGGTATGGAGCCCTCCGAAGACCTGGAGGGACCAAGGAATAACAGACCGTTTGCCTGTGATAGTGCTGGAGGTGTCATGGCGGCCCAGGAGATGGACGAGGTCTAGGAGCTACAGGACGAGACCTTGTGTGAAGGAGATGCCCGAGAGGACCAGCCAACGACCCCTGAGGCAGCAAGAAATGTCAGGGAAAAGAGGACCACGATTCGGAGCTCGCCGGTGCTGATGCAGGGAGAGGCCTGATGGACTTGGACTGATGGACTTGGACTGACAATCCTGCCAGAAGGCAGAGGAACTTTGGCAAGTTAAGTTTTTGGGACCCTGGGGCAGAATGCTATTGTTTGTACACCCCAGGAGATGGGAGTCTGGGCTTTGATGGCCAAAAGCAGCCTGTGTATGCCCAGCTGCTAGGCAGGGAGAAAAGCCAACTGAGATGGCAAAAGCTGGTGCTGATGCTAAGTTTGGGAAGCCCTGAGTGGCTGTTAAGCACCAAGTAAGCTGAGGAAGGCCAGTGAGTCTCGTAAAATCACCTGTGGGTGATGCCCTGCTCGTTCTCTAGTGAGGGTGAGGAGCTGAGGAACCTGTCCTTGGGGGACGGGTGGGGAACGTGGCCTGGGGTGGAGCCCAAGCTGAATGTAGAGTTTGGATCCAAGGATCCCCGACCCATGTGCTTGTGCAGTGGGTTGGCCTGAGTGCAGGGGTCTGCGAGTCGCATTGGTGGCTATGAAAGCCGAGCGTTGGAGCGACTGCAGACAGAAACCCTGAGGGTTGGCGATTACCCCCAACAGTATAGAATCGCCAATCCCAGAGTGAGTGCATCCTGGGGGTGGATGCGGTGTGTGGCTTGTAGTCGAGACTACAGCCAGAGAAGGCCAGGAAGCCTGACGGCTCCTGGTGTGTTACAGTAGATGCCGTGAGTGATTCCCCTCCCTCGTATGAGCAGTGCCTTGGGCAGCAGATTTGGTGGCTCATCTACTGGTACCAATAATTGTCTTTTGCCACTAGGTTGGGGCCCTGCCTGGACTTATTTGTGTTCTGTTGTATTTTGTTGTTATATTGTGATGTATTTGATTTTGTGGGCCATGACTGCATTGTTTATATTTGCTAAGAAAATTGTATATGTGAAGACTATATGGCAGAAAACCCTGAGGGGGTGGACTGTAGGGTAAGGAAAAAATGTCAGGCTTTTCTGCCCTCCCACCATCAGGATAGATGATGGATCCTTGCGGTCCTGAATGCATGCCTGATGGCGGGCACCTGGAATAGGGTGTGGGCATAGGTAGATGGGATTCACCTGGGCTATGACTGGGCTTTTAAGGGCGGCATCACAGGGACGCCAGCAGAAGCTGAAAGAGAAGCTGAGAAAGAAGCAGCAGAAGCCGAGAGAGAAGCAGAGAATGCCGGAGAGCCCAGACAGAGTGAAGACTTACTTGCTGGGGGCTGGGAGGCCTGTCAGCCTCCCGACCCCCTGGCACCCCTACCTGTCATGTACATGGTAAATCCCAATAAAAGACCTGCAAGCCACTGAGGACTCTGACTCCTCCTTTACCCGGTCTGCAGGATCATAGAAAACCTGCACCGTGTCCATTCCTGCCCTTTACAGAGCCTATCTTGGGGTTTGTTAATTTTATTTTATCAAAGAACTAGCTCTTGGTTTCACTGATCTTTTGAACTATATTATTGTTTTCTTTCTAATTTTTATCATTTCCTTCTTTCTACTGATTTGGGGCTTCATTTGTTCTTTTGCTTATTCTTTTAGTTGTAAAGTTAGGTTGTTTAATTGAGATTTTTCTTGTTTTTTTTGATGTGAATCTGAATTGCCTTTAGAGCATCCACAGACTAGGATTTCCTCCACCCTGGCCATATTTTCCTTCTCTCCCCGCTCTGTCTTCCCTGCCCCAACAAATATCAAACTCAATGCAAAATCTCGGTGGGAAAGTCCTCTCTTTTGCTGAACCTCTGGGTCTTTCTTTGAGCAAACTTTATTGTAGTTTTATTTTCCTTTTAGTAGTGTTTAAGGAGGAGCATGATCCATACCTTTCTTTTCTACCATGTTAGTGAAGTCCTCAGAATTCAAATTTTCTAATTTCTCAGGAATATATGTGTGCCTTTTTTTAGCATTTATACTCCCATGTATTATTTTATTTGATTTTTTAAAATATGCATTTGGTTTATATATTTTTTTTACATTTTTCCTTTCCTTTTCTTTTACAATGTTTGCTTTCTTTTCTCAGGTGTAGTCCCCATAGAATTCCCACCACCAGTTCACCCGTGCACCATCACCATAGTCCTTCGTGCTCTTTCCTCTCTCGTTTTGATCCCTCTCCCTCCCCTGCAGAATGTCTCTGATTTATAGATGTCTGTTTTCTTTTGTTTTACTATATTTTTTATTATTTATTTCCCTAATGCCTTACTTGGTTCCCCTATATTCCTCCTATAAGTGAAACCATCTGATATTTTTCTTTTTCCTTCTGACTTATTTCACAGAGCATAATCCCTTCTAGCTCTATCCATGTGTGCCTTTCTTAATCAACTGCAGGGAACTAAAATAACTTTCCTTAAGTGAATAGTACTTGAAATAAGAATGGGAATGTTTTGTCATAAGCCAAGACTCTTAATATAATGCTATCCATTTTATAAACAAACCAAATCCAGTCACACACACAAACTGGACTGTGAATGGAATTCTTAGCATGTTAGTGTCAAATGAGCAAATCTTGCAAATAATGAATCCGTAACACTAGTTTATAGAATGTAAATTTCTGGGGGCCTCCCTGGTAGCACAAGGGGTTGAGACGCAACACTATGAAACTATCCACAGCCACTGCAGCATGAGTTTGAACCCTGGCCAGGGAGGTGGCCCACATGGTGCAGCAGACCTCTCCTGACTCGCCCGCTGCTCCCCTCAGCAGTGTACTTCAGTCAATCTGCCTGTTCTGTTCCCCACTCTGTCGCTGATGAAGCCTCTCACCCCCCCAAACCTCTGGCCTATACCCCAGTCTTGTATGCATAAATACATAAATCTTAAAAAAAAAAAATAGAATGTAAGTTTCTTAAAGAATACAGGAATACAAAATAAAATCAGTATTTTTGATTACTTGCTTTGCATAATTTATTACTCATTCTTTTTATTTACCTGGGTAACCCAGAAGGGAAGCAAAATGGGAACTTTAGCAAGTTTAAATAGTGCTTTAGCAAGCACTATTTAAAGTTATTTATAAATACATTCCTAGAGATATGCCATAGACTATTGAAACATCATGCTTTTATCTGTTTTGCACCTTAGTTCTTAAATAATCAGAGAATACTCACACGATCCACAACCCAGCTGAAGTGAACAAAGTAAATACAAGAGGCAAAAACATCCACACGCTGCATTTCTTCCCATCCATGCCTGTCCTGCTGAAATCAAATAAAAAGGTATTAGTGACTAAGGCAAAAAAAAATTCCATCTTTCAAGATGGAAAGGAAGCTTAACAGAAAAAAGTGCTTTTTATGACACCATGACGAAAATTGTAACTGCCACTACACATGTGGAAATCCCTGGGCAGTTTACATGAATGATTGTTAGCATTAGCTTAAACATTCCACTGTCTCAGTTGAGAACTAATGGAAAATTTTGCATAGAGACATTTTTTTTTAAAAATTTATTTATTCATACAAGAACTGGGGTACAAGCCAGAGGTGTGTGGGGGGGTGAGAGGATTCACCAGAGACAGAGTGGGGAACAGAACAGGCAGATTGACTGAAATACACTGCTGAGGGGAGCAGCGGGCAAGTCAGGAGAGGTCTGCTGTGCCAAGTGGGTAGCTCCCTCGCCGAGGATCACACTTGTGCTGCAGTGGCTGCGGACAGCTTCAGAGGTTGTGTCTTAACCCCTTGCGCCACCAGGAAGGCCGGAGACATTTTATCTTTATATAAGTTCCAATATATTTAAAAATGGACAAAAGGGTTTAGATTAGGACTTTCAGAAGAGTTAGGTACTAATGGCACACTCCAACCTACTTTAGTGCTATTATTAACATTTTGGATTTATGGACTTGAGGATCTGGCATGTACATATGCCTACAACTTGGCAGACAAGAGTGTTAGAAACAAATGGTTACTAAATAAATTAGCTATGCAGAAGGAAATAACAAATGCTTGCAAATCTGAACTTTTCTCATGACATGTATTGAGTAACTATCTCAGAAGACTCTAAAGCAGAATGCTCTGGAAAACAATGCATTGTCCATAACTTTAAATTAGCTCCAGCAACACAATGAAAGTCATACAGATGCCAGACATTTGGGATCTTGTTTTAAAGCAAAATTACACGGGATGTGGTATGTAACAACACCTAAAGGGGGAGGCCCTAAGCCTCTAAAACAAACAACATTGTAAATCAATGTTACCTCAAAAGCAATCATACGTACATTAAAAACCCCTCGCAACCCAGAGCTCAACTGCTGCGCCATTGGGGAGGCCCAACATTTGTATTCTTAACTAAGTATTTTATATACAGGACATATGAAAATGAACAATAAAACTCACTGCAGAAAAAAAAAAAAAAAAACAAACCCCACAAAAATGAAGTGAAAATCAGAAACTTCAGAAGTGTCTATGGAAAGTGATTGGTTTGGAAAAGGAAGAACGAACTAATTATCACTTCTTCACCCATCACATCAGACAAAATCTATTTGAGACAGGGACTGCCAACAATCCTGAAGGCAAACAGAATACCTGATCCAAGAAAATAAATTACCCTAGTGACTTTCATAGTGGACCTGACAAACAGCAAGACAATGTGATTAAATGGCACCTCTAAGGAGATGCCACTGCTCATTATTTTAGCTTTAACAATTAACTGCAAAAAGTTGCTTGTTGGGTTTCAACCAGCATGGCCATATTTCTGGTCTCTCATGATAACTGCTTTCCCCTGCTGGGACTCCCTGGCCCTTCAAAGTGTTGAAACCAGAGAGAGAACATGGCCCCCTTTTTAGTCTACCTGGCTGTAAGGTCTCAGGAAGTTCTTATTTCCCAGAACTAACCTATTTGACTGGGCAGTTTCTGCAGACAAGTACCGGTCACCTGGACCTAATGTTCCTTAAATAGTCACGCTGTAATCTAAACACCTGTCGAAACAGCAGTGTGAAATAAAGTGCAGAATCTAGGAGCTGAAAGGCATTAGAAGAACTTCCAGTCAATTTAATTCAATCTCATTCAATTCAGTCCAATTCACAAATATTGACACCTACTTGTACCAGGGATTCTACTAGGTAGTGAAAATACTGAGGTGAGATCTAATGAACACAACTATTTATACGTGACACTATGCAACATATCAAAGCTATTGCATGAAACAGTGGTGTATGGCAATCCAGTTTATATAATGTGGAAGAATGATGAACATTTTAAGCATATACATTATGTTTTTTCAGTGTTTATTCATTTATGTCTAGAAAACTGTGGGCTTATAGTGAAGCTCCCAATTATTTATTTATTTATTTATTTATTAATAGGGGCATGCTTTTATTTTATTTATTTGTTTGTTTTTTGTTTATACAAGCACTGGGTACAGTCAGAAGCACGTGAGGGTGAGAGAATTCACCAGAGCCAGAGCAGGGAGCAGAGCAGGCAGAAGGACTGAAGTACACTGCTGAGGGGTGAAGCTCCCAATTATGCTAATGAAAATAATTCCATCAGAAGCTAAGCTGTAGAGGGAGTAGAGAAAATAGAAATGTTGATTCAGCAGGTAAACTGATTATATAGATCTGCCCCTGAAATAGGGGGCTCTAGCAGGATGAATATAGCAGAAAGGGCTACACTGGAATAAGAGGTAGGAGACTTAGATCTCTCTCTCTTTTTTAAAATTTTTGCATAGAAGGACTGGGGTGTAGGTCCCAGGTGTGGGGATGGGGGTGAGAGGATTCACCAGAGACAGAGTGAGGAGCAGAACAGGTGGATTTACTGAAATACACTGCAAAGGGGAGCAGCCGGCAAGACAGGAGAGGTCTGCTGTGCCATGTGAGTTAGCTCCCTGGCTGGGGATAGAACTCAGGCCTTAGGGGTGATAGCACTGACACTTAACCCCTAGGTCACGCGAGAGGCCCCAGGAAACTTAGTTCTTAACCTTAGCTTTGTCAAAAACTGACAACTGGGCCTGACTCAGTTATTTAAATCAGTAGTATCATTTTCACAACTCACTATTGAAGAGTGCTGATTTTGAAGAGGACAGCAAACATTGATGGTCTCACAGGGTAGTAGCACCTTGGAGGTTAACCCAAGATCTTTGCAGTAACAGAATGCTCCAATGTACAGCTAGCAGTCTCAAAAGAACTCATGCTTATTAGTCATTTTTACAGTAAACCAGATGCCTATTTGTTAATATATAGCAAGAATCAACTGCCCAATGGACAAATCCTCAAGTTGTCTCCACTTTTAGGACCATCTATATGGGAAATTTGGGAGCAGGAAGTAGAGTGAAGGAAGTAACGAGATAATTCTGAGACCGTAGCATCAACCAGCAACACCTCTATGTGCTAATTCCCTTCAAAGAGAGACAGTACAGTAGGATGGGAATGGTGAGGCAAGGCCTTGGACTGAATCTTAGCTCTACCGCTCAGTAACTTTGTGAACTCTGGCAAGTTATTTCATCTCTTAAGCATTTGAAATGATATCTCATTAATTCCCTATTGAATAATGTATTACAATAGGTATATTTGCATGTGCTTATTGGCCATTTATATATCTCCTTTGGAGAAATTCTGTTCATATCTTTTGTACATTTTTTTTTAAAAAGATTTATTTATTTATTTATTTATACAAGCACTGGGTACAGTCACAAATGTGGGAGGGTGAGAGAATTCACCAGAGCCAGAGGGGAGAGCAGAGCAGGCAAAATGACGAAATACACTGCTGAGGGGAGCAGCGGGCGGCAGGAGAGATCTGTGCGCCATATGGGACCCTCACCCGGTGGCCAGGGATCGAACCGGCGCTGCAGTTGCTGCGGGCAGCTTCGCAACCCAGCACTCAACCGCTGGGCCACCAGGGAGGCCCCTCTTTTGTACATTTTTAAATTGTGTTGTTTGTTTTTGCTATTTAATTATGCCAGTTTATATATTCTGGACACTAATCCCTTATCAGATGTAAGATTTACAAAATCTCCAATTACGTGAGTTACCTTTTTACTGTATTCATAGTATTCTTTGATGTACAAATGTTTAAAGTTTTGATGAACTTCAATTTATCCTTTTTTTTTTAATTTTGTTCCCTCTGCTTTTGGTGTTCCATCCAAGAAAATGCCAAATCCAGTGTCATGAGGTTTTCCTCCTATGTTTTGTTGTAAATGTTTTATAGTTTCAGCTCTTGCCACTTAGGTCTTTGATTCATATGGTACAAGGTAGCTACATTTCTTTACATGTAAATATCCAAAACCATTTGTTTAAAACATTTTTTTCCTACATTGACTGGTCTTGACAGAGCAAAAGTTTTAAAAGTTGATAAAATCTTTTTTTAAAGCTTTATTTATTTATGCATACAAGAACTGGGGTATAGGCCAGAGGTGTGGGGGGTGAGAGGATTCGCCAGAGACGGGGTGGGGGGAACAGAACAGGCAGATTGACTGAAATACACTGCTGAGGGAAGCAGTGGGCAAGTCAGGAGAGGTCTGCTGCGCCATGTGGGTAGCTCCCTGGTTGGGGATTGAATTCATGTACAGTGGCTGCAGAAAGCTTCATAGGTTGCATCTTAACTGCTTGTGCCACCAGGGAGGCCCAAAAGTTGATAAAATCTAATTTAACAAGTCTTCCCTTTTTTGGAACTCACTACCTAGGTCTTGGTCTTGAAGGTTTTCTCAAAGTTTTTTTCCTAAAAGAGTTACAGTTTTACATTTAACTTTGTGACCTGGTTATGTCTTCTTAAACTGTAGGTCCCTACTGTTTTTATTGAAATTAGTTAGACCCCAGACAGTCTATAAGTCACTTTGACAAGGATTAAGAAATATGTGATGATCTAAATCAGTCTTCTGAATAGTAAAGGAAGATTTATAATAATATATATTTCAGCCATAATATTCTCTATCATGCCAACTTCAACTGACAGTGTGAACTAAAGAACAAAACAATGATGGTGTGTGTGTGTGTGTGTGTGTGTGTGTGTGTAGAAGTGAAAAGCTCCCTAACCTGCTTCACCTCCCTATCCTCTTTGAGTTATTGAGACTACAAGATCAAAGTAAAAAGCTCTATCAGAACCAGTTTCTGGTTGTTTCCTACAAATGCCCTATCTGACATATTTTGATCCTTTTATTTCTTTCTGTCATCCTGGTGGAACCCTGTAAACAAAGAAGGGGAACTCTGTTACATACTTTTTGTTTTTGCTCAAAATAATTTTTGTCCACGATTAGTCCATAATCAGCTTATAAT